AAATAATAGTCTCGCTACCTTAAATCAATTAGTTTTGAAATAATTTCTTGTGACTGTAACCAGTGTGCAAGTTAAAAAATTAAAAAAAATATTACATATTTTTGATTTTTTTGAATGGAACTAGAAAAACATCCAAAAGCATTAGAGTACCAGTTTACCATTTTCACTGACGGAGTATCTGAATATTTTATCAGCGGAAAGAGATATTTGATGTTAATTGTTTTTGTTTTTTTTATTGTGTGCCAGCACAAAAATCAACCCCTCTGTTGACATCCAGGTGTTTTGTTGCGTCTTCTAGCATTGGTTCTTCAAAAATCAGGAACTTAAATTAAAAGTCAAGTCTATTGAGTCAGTCCTACTTATAGAAGCAATATGATATGTAGATAAAATGTTAATCATCATAGAGCAATATTTGTTATTGAAATGATCTTTTTTATTTTTAAGATTTTAATATTGGTGTTTGCTATACCTGTGTATGATACACATTGCTAATGACTCTATGTTGAATTATTTCTCTATATTCAGTTGTCACCTAGCAACAGTGATATGATACAGCAACATAAAAGTCTGATGGTGGAAGCCCGACAGTATGCACGTAAGATGAGTATGATGATATTATCTGATAAAGGAAATGAGAAAGATGCAGACAAAGAAGAAAAAAATGATCAGGTTAGTTTACTTTTGTCTTTAGTTAATGTAAATTCCCGGTCAAGATTAGGAGTATGCAGTCTTGCACTTACCTACCGACGACTTTAATATTTCATATAATTCACTAGGACCTCAAGGTGGAGTCACAGTAGATATTTCATTGGGGTCCTCAAGATTGAGTCACAGTGAATATTTCATTGGGGTCCGCAAGGTGGAGTCACAGTGAATATTTCACTAGGTTCTCAAGGTGGAGTCACAGTGGGCTTTACTAACTTTTTATTGTGTGAATCTAATCTTAGAGTGTACAGTCTTAATACTTTCATTTCATTATGAAACCTGTCTGCATTTAATGTTAAGTAATGTTGCCAAATTAAATCTCACTTGACATTGTGCTCACAATTAGTTTGCTGTGTCTTTCAAAGGAGACTGATTACCAGAAGCTTGGTCTGTGTGAAGCATTACTGCAGCTTGGTGATTGGCATCACGCCAAGTTATTGATGGATAAACTGCCACCATTTACAGCAGCTCTAAAGAAGCCCATTGCACTTGCTATGTGTCATCTTATACATGCAACAATTGAACCACTCTATAACAAGTAAGTATCAATTACAATATGATTAAACTAACATAAATTCTAGTGTCAGCATTAGACTTGATGTCAAGTCTGTGTATTGTCTTAGCTAGCTTTCCAGTGTTGTTATTTCTGTATGCTGCACACACTAGTATAATTTGAAATGCTGCGGCAGACTGGGAAAAACAGTTCTAATGACCTGATAATTAACATAAACTGTATCTCTATTGTCAACCAATCATACAAATGAAGACTATCATGGTAATATTTACTAAACCAGACAACATTGTTTAAAACTATGCCAGTCAGTTACACAAGGTAAATAAAAACAAACTTTCAGCTTGCAGTGTATGTAGACACTTTGTCATCATCAGAAACTCATTAGAAATTGGAAAACATAGTGAATTGTTTTTTCTAAAACTGATGACATGCTGTTTGTTGCTTTCAGTTGTGCTTTGATAATACAATCAATCTTCTTTGTGTTTCACGCAATAGTACCTCTGCTACAGACAGCCTTCAATTTTGTGTCCAATCACCTCACTACGCACTTATGTGCATGTGTCTGTGCGTGCGTCTGTGCGTGCATCCGGACCTGGACCTAGAAATGCCTGGACCAATCACAATCAAACTTCACACATACATGATATTATACATATGCACGTCAATTTGTTTCACGATCTGATTCAAGATGGCCAAATGGCGGCCATTTTTGTGCTAACAAATCCTAAAACTCAAGCATTTCTCGGCTGTTTACAGATGGATTTTGTTCAAACTTGGTATATACATTAGACATTATGGGACCTTGGTGCAAATAATTTTGTTTTTCAGATAAGATTTAAAATGGTCGACTGGTGGCCATTTTGTTTTAATGAATGTGGTTCTCGTGCCATATGTCTGACTTGCTTTCACTGATTATGTTCAAATTTTAAATATTCATTATACATCATGTCATAGATAGACAGATTTATTGGTTTGACGATCCTATTCAAAATGGCCAAATGGTGGCCATTTTT